TTCCTCTAAGCTTTGAAAAGAGTGATTCCTCCCCGTCAGACCCTGCACAGCCGAGGTGGTTCCCTCCCTGCAGGCAGCGGGGTCAGGCTTCAAAGCTGCTCCTCTGCAGGAGAATCACAGAGCCTGGAGTGAGAAAAAGGCACCCCATGGGCATTGCTCTGCAAACCCCATCCTGTGTGAATCCTGCTTTTGAGAATTCAGCTGCTCACTGACTTCTCCAGCAGCATCTGACTTCACCCAGGCAGCATCTTGAGCTCTTCAAGAGCCAAAATAATAAAAATGTTACCGGAACTTTTAATTTGCTCTAGGTTTGATCCAAACCCCAATTTCCCTCTTAATAAGTGGCACGGGAGGAAACAAAATGCAAATAGAGGAAAAGGACATTTTCCAGATCTACCTTTGCTAACACAGCCCTATCCTGTGCTTTTCCTTCTCCCAACCGAACTTCTTCAGGAGGGGAAGCTCCAGCTTTTGGTTTGCTCCCCTTCGCCTTTTCCGAGGCTTGCTCAGAGGAGGTGAGAGCCTGCTTCTGGAGCCTTCCCTGAGCAGCAGCACCCACCCATCCACCTTTCCAGGGCACCTTTCCCTGGACATCCCCACCCACCTTCCCTGGGCATCCTTCCATGGGCAGCAGCATCCATCATTTCATCCATAATAACCCCATCCACCAGCAGCTCGAAGGACACTCCCACGGTGCCAAAGCTCAGAACATCCCTCGGCTGTGTTTTGGACCTGGCAGATTTTGACAAAAGTGCCGTGGAGGGTGTTGAAGTCCTGGAGGATGAAGCTGTTGTCCGAGGGGGAGAATTCCAGGGCTGTGTGAGGATTTGCGGGCTGGGAACGCTGCTGGATTTGTCTCAGGTTTGTCCCTGCCCTGCTGAGCCCTTTCTCCGGCTGTCAGTCCCACCATAAACTGCGACCCCACACTTGTTCTGGAGGACTCAGGCACATTTTCCTCCCCCCACCCAAATCACYRCCCSTTTTAGGATGCTCAGCTGCCCCRGCYCYACCTGCAGGACGATGTCRGTCCCTCTGTGGTTCCCGATGGTCGYGGTGTGAAATTCCAGGATTTCAGCTGGAAAYRCCCCTCYGAGCCCTTTGGAAAAGYTTGCWTTGCCCAGCCCCCTCACCTGCCAGGCTGGCACCAAAAACCCAACTCCTCATTCAGCACCCCAAMACAACCTGAGCCATGAGCACCTCAACCAACTCACACACTAAAACTGTACAAAATGACCCCAAAAGCAGCTCTGTCCCAGCTGGCAGTGTGGCTGCAGTAGCCTTGGAAACCTTGGCCASGCTGCCTGCCTGGGTGAGTTTTTCSTGTTAGTTTTGTTTAATTTAGGRKTTTTTTTCCTCTCCTTTGTCCAAGCAATTGGCCCAGCAGCAGAACACAGCTCAGCACCAGCATGGCCACAGCGATCCTGGCCAGATGGGGACACATGGGAATGATTGTCACAAACCTCACAGTGGCCCTGCCACCTGCCAGGGCTGCCAAAGAACCTTTTTGCCCCCATTATAGTTATTTTTTATTTAATACCATGCTCACACACACGAGCACACTGATGGATCCCAAACCTTGGGAAGGGCCAGGACACACACACACACACACAGACACACAGACACACAAACACAACGTACAAAACATTTATTCTGAGCACTCTGCCTGCACAGGATGTTCAGCAGTGATTTCTGGCACTGGGGCACGCGGCTCCCAACCCCCAGGGTCACCCACTTGCCTCCAACAGAGCACAAAACAGGGACAGCAACCRAGGCAAGAAATCCATCCTCTCCCTGAGGAGCAGGAGGCCCCTTTCAGCTGCTTCCCACCAGCCAGCAGAGACCTTGGCACAAATCAGGGCTGGCCCTGGGCCACCAGCCCAGCCCAGCCCAGCCGGGAGCGGGGAAAGCCGTGGCGCTGCTCTGGTAATGCACTTCCCCTTCCTCAGACCAGACACCAAAAAAAAGGGAACATTTCACTTTTCCTCTTGGAAAATCCTTCTSCAGTATCAGTTTGGTGGCTTGGAACAGCCGTGCTGGAGGTGAGGGGCGCAGTGAGAGGATGCTCTGGGTGGTCTCGTGTGGAACACCACAAGTGACACTTCTGGCACGCCCAGCCTTCATTCACTTCACAGCAGCACAACTTGTGGTGCTCATTTTTCTTTCCCCACAGTCTTTTGTAAAACCCAGTCCCAGGGAAAGCGAGTCCCATCCTTGTGCCACGGCACGTCCTCCACACGGCAGCTTCCAGGGAGCCCTGGCTGCTTCTGCACCCACACACCGAGCCCCTCTTGGCACGGCGGGCTTTAAAAAACCCTCARCCCAGCAGCATCACAAATTCCATTTTTTTTTTCTTTTTAAGGCATTTGCTGGCTCACTGGCATTTTGTCCTGGATCTCCTCGTACTTTGGCGGAGGGGTGAGTGGCTCTATCGTGATGGGGACGCTGCTGTTGCCCTGCTCCAGGTTWAGCCTGATGTCCTTGAGGTGCAGCTTTTCTGACTTGATCCTGCGCACCTTGAGCGGTTTCAGGCGTTTGCTGAGGCGGGAGCCGTGTCTGCTGGGCTGCCTCTCTGGGCTGGGCTCTGTGCCCACGGCCCCTGGAGCCTGGCTGCCCTCRCCCAGCCCTGCCAAGGACTCGTAGGAGGGCAGGGAGACGCTGAGCCTGTTGCTCCTGTCCGAGTCTCTGGGCTCGGAGTAGCCCGTGTTCATCACCTCCTCGTAGCTGGGCACRTAGTACTGGGAGGAGACGTCTTCATCCTCTTCTTGACTGGAGGGGAAAGGGATAAAGCTGTGGGTAGGTGCACCATTTCAGCTTCTTTGTGGGAAGGATAGGATAAAACCACCCCACCCCACCAGAAATAGTTTTTTGCCCTTCTACGTTATATGCCAGCTTCCTTTTGCTTGACAGAACAAATCATGACCCCACCTAAACTCAGACACRTTTTATTTCCTTGGCATTTATGGCTGTCTTTGATCATCACTTTCTCTGCCCACAGGCACTCTTCCATTGCCCAGCAGTGATTTCTTCCCTTGAGAGAACATCAGTTTCTCTCCTCCACTCTCAAAATCCAATTAAAATACATTAGAAAAGGACACCACCCCTCTGCTGTTGCCATTCTGATATCTCTTGGGTTGGGCACCTTTGGGTTTTCTGAGAGATTCAGCTCTGYACTGTCACCATCAGGTACCAACACTGCCATTTCTTTGGCATTCTGAAGTTAACTTTCCCATCAAACAGGGAAAATCAGTTTTCAGGGTGGATCTGCAGACCCTGGAGAGAGCCAGCAGAGCCACAGTCCCCTCCTGTCCCCATGGCCCCTGCCTCTCTCCCTCCGTGCTGATGGACAGGGAGCTCCCCTGGGGCATGTTTGTCCAGACTGTGCCTTTGCAGTGCCCCACAGAGCTCCCTGAGCAAACAGCAGGACCCTGCAGACTTTCACAGGGTCTGAACTCCATGGCCAGTCTCCAAGGCTGTTTCCATGGCCATTCTCCAAGGCTGTTTGGCACCTTGGCTGCCCCTGGCCAGGCAGAGCCAGCCCCTGTCCTGCCCCTCTGGCCGCTCTCCCAGCATGGGGCAGGGATCTGCTGCTCTCGGGGTTACCCAGGACACTGCCCAGCATTGTCTCAGCTCCCAGCATGGGGATCTGCTGCTCTCAGGGTTACCCAGGATGATGCCCAGCGTTGTCTCAGCTCACTCCCCTGCACCAGAATGGGGATCTGCTGCTCTCAGGGTTACCCAGGATGATGCCCAGCGTTGTCTCAGCTCATTCCCCCATGCCAGAATGGGGATCTGCTGCTCTCAGGGTTACCCAGGACGTTGCCCAGTGTTGTTTCAGCTCATTCCCCTGTGCCAGTTGAGCAGGAGTGACCCCTCTCCCAACGCTGCCTCAGCCACAGCTCTGTCCAGACCCCCTTTACCCTTCCACTCACTGCAGCAATTCCTCAATCCCTTCACATACCCAAACCCTCAACCACATCTCCTTTACCACCAGACCCTCCCAAGCACAGCAGCACCCCTCACTTTCACCCCCACACCCAATCCCACCCTTTCTATCCCCAAAACGCCCTCTCTCTCACCTGTCCTCGTGCTGCGAGGGCTCGGCCGAGRCCTGGCGCTGGACGTGCGCGATGGCCATCTCCTGGCTCTGGCGCTTCTTGTCGCGGATGTTGAGGCAGATGGAGAGCAGCAGCAGCAGCAGCCCCGCTCCCACCAGCACGTAGGCCACCGAGAAGGTTTTGCTCTTGAGGATTCCCCCGGAGCCGCGGTCGGGTTTGCTGCTGTTGCCGCCGGGTTTGTCGGGGGGCCCGAAGCCCGGCACGAGGTTCCACACGGCCATGATGATGCCGAGCACCAGCATGCCCAGCCCGATGGCCGTCAGGGCGTAGTGGGAGCCGTTGGGCCGMGACTGGGCCATGGCTGCAGCGGGGCTGGGCAGGGCGGTGGTCAGTGCATGGCTGGGGCCGGCCGGGATGTGGGGGCATGTGTGGGGCCAGCGGGCCGGGCAGGGACACGGCTCTGGGGGAAACGGGGTGAGAGTGAGGGACAGAACAAATGGGAGATAAACACGGCGCCATGACGGCGATTCAGGAGATAAATACCACGGCACTACAGCGATTCAGGAGCTAAACACCACGCCAGACAGCGATTCAGGAGCTAAACACCACGCCATGAGATTCAGGAGCTAAACACCACACTATGTCAGCGTTTCAGGAGCTAAACACCACGCCAGACAGAGATTCAGGAGATAAACACCACGCCATGACAGCGCCCAGGAGCTAAACACCACACTATGTCAGCATTTCAGGAGCTAAAAACCGTGGCACTACAGCGATTCGGGAGCTAAACGCCACATTCAGGAGCTAAACACCACACCATGACAGCGATTCAGGAGCTAAACACCATGGCACTACAGTGATTCAGGAGATAAACACCGCACCATGACGGCGATGCAGGAGATAAACACCACACCAGACAGGGATTCAGGAGCTAAACACCACACCAGACAGCGATTCCAGCTGAGGCCAACCCTCACGCTGCCGGGCCTGACAGAACAGGGATCTGGATCCCTGCTGGCTGCTCCCATCCCCAGCCTTTGCTGGGAATATCCACCAGCCTTGGAAAACAATTCAAGCTCTGATGTTTGCTAACGGCTTGGATTGCCTGTCCTTGGCAGTGTGATGGCTGACATCTTCACAGCACCAACAGAAGGCCACAGAATCCATGTCAAGAGCTTCTGTCGATACAAACCAACCTGGAAACTCTCAGAATAAAACATCTCTAGCTGAACAGTTTCTCCTCTCACCCCATTCAGGAGGKAGCAGGGCTGCTCACGGCGCTGGCTGCCTGCCCTGGAACGCCTTCCTGCCCAGAGAACAGAAACCAAAACTGCCTCTGTCCCAGCCAACTCGACCCTGTGGCTTCCCCAGCTGCTGCTGGTGATGCTGTGGGGATGGTGACCYTTGGTGTCACCCCTGGCTCACTTTGGGCTGGCTGCTGCACCCCTCAGGGATGTCTGAGCACAAACACTCCCAACCAGCCAGGCCATGGATGGCAACTCCTCCTGCAGGACCTCCTGTCCATGTTTGCTGAATTGTCAGCACCAGACATTTCCCAAAATAAGCCATGTCTGCATGTGCCACGTCTGGGATTTCTCCTCCCTTTCCCGGCTCCTCGATGCTGTTTGGGCTCAAGGTGACCCTGGGCTATGGGGTCAGTGGTGCTGTACCCACACACCCCCCARCACACCCTTCAGCTCAACCCTCCCGAGCTCAAAAGCTCCATGTTTGCTTGTTTAGCCGGATCACACGCCCAGCTCAGGGTCAAGGGCCAGAATAAAGCAGCACTCCCAGAAAACAGAGCGGCTGCAGCAGGAAAACACACACATGCAAGCCTGGAGAGGAAGAACCCTCAGAGGAACTCCCTTCTGTGCTCCAGCACGGCTGTGGTGAGTCCCAGAGGGGTGTGCCAGCCTGTCTGGACACATTGCTGACCCCGCAAGAGTCTGGGCAGGGTAAAGTCATGGTTCCTGTGCTCCGTTGGGGCTGTGGGATGCCTGGAGCTGCTGATCCCAGCCCGTGATTCCCTGTGCTCCTGGGGGAAGGCAGCCCCTGATCCGAGCTTTGATTCCATCCTTGTGAGCAGCTGATGAGGATGTGGAGAACTCTGCATCCAGAACATCCTCAGCAGCATTCCAGGAGCCCTCCTCCCACCCAAACGCTTCCACGCCTGCAGCTGCTGCCACCAGCACCGACCTCTGCCCTCCCACATGAAGGTTTTGTTCTCTGCTTGTGCCCTGTGCGGTTTTTTCCCTCACCTGACGATCCAGCCGAGCTCCCATCCTCGTCACAAACACATCAGCCAGCCAAGAGTCACCTGAGAGCAGCTGCCATGGCCTCGGGGCAGGAAAACTGCGCTGCACCCACGGTGGGCACAGAACACACCCAGGGCTGGACACATCCACCCGTGGTGTCTGAACCTGCCCACAGCCTCTGTGGCTCCCCTCAGGCACCTCAGCCCTGGAGGTGGGCAGGATTTCAGCTCCCACGTCACCCCTGCCTGGAAGTTTTCCGCAGATCCCTGGCAGTGCTGCCCATCAGCGCAGCAATCAGATTAGAGCAGGAGGCTCGCTATTCCAGTCCATCTCTCCATTGAATTAGCTGCTCTCCCGGCTTTCCAGAGCTGTTCCTAYYCCTGCTCCAACCCTCCCTGATGTCAGAATCCCAGGAAAGGAGCTGCTGCTGGCTCTGTCTCAGGTCCAGCATTCCCAGTGCTGCCTGGATGCTCACCCCACCATCACAGAATGGTTTGGGTGGGAAGGGGCTTTAAAGCTCATCCCATTCCACCCCYTCCATGGGCAGGGACACCTTYCACTGTCCCAGGCTGCTCCAAGCCCYGTCCAGCCTGGCCTTGGGCRCTTCCAGGGATGGARCAGCCACAGCTTCTCTGGGCAYCCTGTRYCAGAGGCTCCGCACCCTCACCAAGTAGAATTTCTTCCTAAATATCCAGTCCAAATCATCCCTTTTTCACTTTAAAACCAACTTCCCTTGTAAAAAGTTCATCCCCATCAGGTGGGTGAGCAATGTCTGAGCATTCCAGCCCCCTCCAGCCCCCTTCCCGGTTACCAGGGATCCTCCCTGTGAGCCAGACCCTGCTCCATCCCWCTCCCTGCTTGCCCARGGATYYTCCCTGTGAGCCAGACCCYGCTCCATCCCDCTCCCTGCTTGCCCARGGATYYTCCCTGTGAKCCAGACCCYGCTCCATCCCRCTCCCTGCTTGCCCARGGATYYTCCCTGTGAKCCAGACCCCGCTCCATCCCGCTCCCTGCTTGCCCAGGGATYYTCCCTGTGAKCCAGACCCCGCTCCATCCCGCTCCCTGCTTGCCCARGGATYYTCCCTGTGAKCCAGACCCCGCTCCATCCCGCTCCCTGCTTGCCCARGGATYYTCCCTGTGAKCCAGACCCCGCTCCATCCCGCTCCCTGCTTGYCCSTGCCCTGCCCTGGCAATGATTTACCCCAGGATCTTCGAACCATTAAACTCCTGGGGCAGGGCTGCAAAGCCCGGGGGGYACCCACGCCTCTCTGGGCTTCCCGCACCTCTGCCCTACCCCTGCAGGCTGCCCGTGCCCTTTGGGATGCTCTTGCGACATTTCCAGGTGTTCACTGGGCACGGGAAGGCTCGGGATAAGCCCCATTCTGGCCCCATTCACACACCCCGAAAGCAGGAACAGCTTCCCTTTCCTGGCAGACCCAACAGGGTCACCGGATCACGTCCCACATCCCAGAGCTCCTGGAGGAACTCCGGCCCCGTTGGGTGATTCAGAGCCCGGCAMCCCCCGCTGCCCTCAGCAGCACCCACGCTCCTCTGCCCTCCAGGACCTTTGGATTTTTCCCCTGTCATGACATCACCTTCCCTTGGCTGTCACGGGATGGTGAGGGATGAGTCTGCAGTTCAGGGAACAGGTCAAACCCCGACACACTCAGCGCACATGGGATGAGCTCCAGGGCTTCTTCACTCCCCAAAACTCATCAGATCTCGGCTCCCCACGGAGCCCCTCGGAGCTGCCTCCAAAATCCAGGGTGTGTTTTTGTGGTTTTTTTCACCTGTCACACGCAACTAATTTTCTGGAAGATTCTAGGGGGAAATAAACCCGTTCTCCAACCATCCAAAGATTCCAGAGTCTCCTCTGTGTTAGATTACAAGGCTCTCCCTTCATCCTCATGCTTCTACCCAGGGAACCTGCTCATTAACCCCCTTCCCTGCTAATTGCTGCCCTGGTACATCCTCGGGAGCTCCTTCCTGCAGTGGCCATAACCTTTGCTGAGTCCTGGTTACACAGGGGTTCAACCCACCAGGAACACAAAACTCCATCTAGGGTCTAAAASTAAACAGGTCAGGTATTTTCATAGAATCCCAAAATGTCTGGGTTTGGAAGGGACCTTAAAGACCATCTGCACCAACTCCCAGCCATGGTTTCTCTTTTTTTGGCCCTTTTTGCTGCCTCTGCCCCAGAACAGGGATATTTCTGGCCAGATGCAGACCGGGGGATGTAGGGAATACCCAAACAAATCCAGCTCAGCCAGGAAAAGAAGCACTGCTGCTGATTTAGGCAATTTCAGATATTTTGGACAGATCCCAGCCCATTTCAGAGCATCTCAGCAGGGAACAGGAACCYAGAGGGACAGCCCCATGCAGACCATCAGGGCTTTTCCACATTCGGCTTACACTTCCTTCCTAGAACACAAAAAACCACATCCACATCTCCACTTCCCTTGGCATTCCCTACAGACATTTAAGAGCTATTTCTCTCTCTTTTTTTTTTCTTAAATCTAATTTTGAACAATCCCTCCTCAGCTGCACCTTGCAGACAGCGCTGGGATATTTTCCTCATATATAAAAGCAGCGACATTTTCCTCAAACCCTGCCTAAGGCTCTCCCTGCTCTCCTGCTCCAGAGGGAGCTCAGGACCCCCGATTCTGCCACTTCCTGCAAAATAAGGGCATCACAGGAAAGCCCATTCCCAGGCTCAGAATGCTGCAATCCATCCAGCTGGCTGTGGTTTTCACAGCAGAACAACAGAGACAGRGCTCACAAAATACCCCACTTCCACAAACCCCATTCATCTGCCTCTGTCGTGTCCTTGGCAATTCCAGGCACGGCTGSTGAAGGTTCCTGGGGCGGCACAGATCACACAAGCCACGGTAGCCACACTCCAGAGCTGCAATCAGAACCGTGCAGCAGCCATCACCTTGGCCTTTGCCACTGAGATATGAGACACTGCCTCGCAGCCTCCTTCTCTCCATAATTCCATTACAGCCATCCGAGCGGCGCCTGCTGCGGAGGGCTGATGGACAGGGACAGAGAGTCCTTTTACCTTTGTGTTTTCGGGACGTTGCYGTTTGTTCTTGGGGACAATGCTGCCGTGGCCACCAAGGCCACGCTGGCACTGCTCTCGGCAGGTCAGTGAGCCCTCGCTGCGTCCCGGTGCTGTGTAAACACCATCCCATGGCTTTTCCTGATCCAGRCTCTGGGATCAGCACTGGGAGTGACTGCCAGGCCCAGCTCTGCTAAACCAGCGATGGGGGCTTGGGGTGATGCCCAAGATTTTTAGCTTTTTGTATTTTTCACTTTTTTGTAACTTTGTACATTGCTAACGCATGGCTGTAGATCCTGGTACTTTTCCCCTCTTTCTTCCCTACATTTAGGAACAATAAACTAACCTTATAAACACTTCCCTAAAATATTGTTTAATCTTTTTTCCAAGAAGAGAACCAACTACAAGGATATTGTCTCGCAAACAAAATCTGGAGCAGACATAACAAAAATGGGACAAAAGAAACCTCTGGGCTGCTTCCAGTGGGGCAGAACCCCAGGAATTACTACCTAACCGCCTAACCTGTTAATTGGACAGCATATGATAAGCATACTAACCAAGTAACCTCATAAAAATTGTAGAATTACTGTACCAGGCGTGATTTTCCCCATAATGTGTACCTGAAAGCTTTTAAGTAAAGATTTGCTTTTATATTCACTGTGATGTTGTTGGGAAGATCTATTCTATTTTCCAGGCAGCAGGGCTGCTCACCTCTCCCCAGGGAGCTGAATTCCCTGTGCACCTCAGCCCGGGAAAGAATGCCTGCCTGGGAAAATCCCAGCACTCTGACTCTTTCTCCTTCCTGCTTTTCTTTGGAGGCCGCTTTGTACCTCTGAGTTTGGATTTATTTTTTTAAAAATTCCCCTAATCTGCTGTTTCCGCCGAGATAAAGCCATTCCTTTGCAGCCTCCCCCTGGTTTTTGTTGTGGGACCTCTCCCCATCTCRGTGCCAGATAACACCCAGATAACACACCCTGCTCACCCTTCCAGGACCACGAGACATTATCCTGCTGCCCTTTTGATGTCCTCTGAAGCAGAACCCAGCACTCCCACTTCCTCCCAGCCCCTCTGCAGAGCTTTAAGCACCTCCTGCCCCACAACACTGGCACCCCTGGATGATTATCTCCCCTTCCTTCAAGCCACCAACCCGGCACCTCCCGCTGCAATCGGCCTCACCAGCACTGCCTTCCTCATCCTCTGCTCGGATTTCCAGCAACGCCTTTTTCCCCAGCACAGCATCACCTCTCCCYATGCTTCTCCAACGAGTATAACCCACAAAGAAAACCCACAGAGGATGGCCACGGAGCCCCCAGGGCAGGAGGGAAGTGAGAGGTGATGCTGGAGGACACGGAGACAGCTTGGGGACCTAGAGCTGGCTGGGGATGCAAAGCCAGCTTGGGGACATGAAGCCAGCCCAGGGACATAGAGCTGCATGGGGACACTGAGCCAGCCAGGGACATGGAGCTGGCTGGGGACACGAAGTTGGCTGGGGACACTGAGCTAGCCAGGGACACTGAGTCAGCCTGGGGACACAGAGCTGGCTGGGGACAGGGAGCTGGCTGGGGACA